GTACAGTTTCACACAACAGTGAACATTTGTTCACACTAACAGTGTACAGGTTCACCCCTTACATTTTCCAGTGTTCACCTACAGTGTACAGTGTTTCACACCCCGTGTGCAGTGTACACATAAAAATTACAGTTTTCACATTAAAATTGTAAATTTGTTCACACTCCCGGGTAAAATTGTTCACCTACAGTTACAGGTGCAAAACTACAGGGGCCCCAGGTTCAAAATTTCAGAGAACAGTGACACACTACAGTGAAACCGGTTTTCACATTACAGTGTACAGGGGTTCACCCAACAGGTAAAAGTGTTCCCACTCTTTTTTGTACAGTTTTTCACACTAAAAAGTGTACAGTGTTTCCACACTACATTAAACAGTGTTACACCCCGTTTCACACTACATTGTAAAATTGTTCACACTACAGTGAACATTTTCACCCAAACAGGAAACAGTGTTCCCACAACAGTGCCCATTTCCACACTCCCGTGAACAGGTTCACACTACATTGTACAGGTAACACCAAACTTTTGAAACAGTGTTCACCCCTAAAAGTGTACAGGTTCACACAAAAATTCACATTTGTTCCCAAAAACCGGGGAACAGTTTCACACAACAGTGCCCGTTTTCACCCTAAAAGTGAACAGGTTAAAAACACTACAGTGACAGTTTTTCCAAAACACAGTGAAACAGTTTCCCCCCAACGGGTGAAACAGCACACTACAGTGAAACAGTTTTTCACACACAGTGTACCTGCCAAAACCAAGGCACATTTTTTAAACACTACAGGGGTAAAAGTTAAAACACAACAGGTACGGGTTTTTCACCCTACATTTTAACGGGGGGGGGGGGGGGGGGGTTTTCACACTACATGTCCCGGTTTTCCCCCACTACGTGAACAGTGTTTCAAAAACAAAAATGTAACAGTGTTCACTCTACAGTGTACCATGTTTTACACTACAGTGTACAGTGTTTCAAACACAGGGGAAAAAGTGTTCAAAAAAAACAGGGGCACGCTCACACTACATTTTTAAAGTGTTCACACTACAGTGTACAGGGGTTCACACTCCCAGTTTTCATTTCCCCCAAATTTTAACAGTGTACAGTTTTTCACACAAACAGTGTACAGTGTTCACACTACAGTGTACAGTGTTTCACACTACAGGTACATGTTCATACTAAATTGTAAAATTGTTCACACTACGGGTGCAACGGGTTTTTCAACAAAACAGTGTACATTTTTCCACAACAGTGTCCAGGGGTTCACACTACAGTGCCCCGGTTCACCCTACAGTGAAACATTTTCACACAACAGTTTTAACAGTTTTCACACAACAGTGCAAAAGGTTCACACTACAGGCAGATTTCAACTAAGGCACATTTTTTTCACCCCACAGTGTCCTTGTTCACACTACAGTGAAACCGTGTTCAACATCAGTGTACATGTACACAACTACAGTGAAAACATTTTTTCACACAAACCGGGGTTTTACAGTGTTCCCCAAACATTGAAACATTTTTCACACAACAGTGTACAGTGTTCACCCCGCATTGTACGGGTTTCACCCGCAGTGAACGGTTCAAAACAAATAGTTTCCAGTTTTCACACTACAGTGTAAAAGGTTCACCCCAGGAACAGTGTTCACACTACAGTGTACAGGTCAAACAAAAAATGTACAGTTTTCACACCCAGGCCCGTTTTCACAACTGCATGTACAGTTTTTCACATTTCAGTGTAAAAATTTTCACACTCCCTTGTACAGTGCACAAAACAGGTACAGTTTTCACACAACAGTGTACAGGGGAATAAACTAAAAGGAAAACATTTTTCCCACTAAAGGGTTTACAGGTTCACACCCCGAAAAAACATTGTTCACAAAACAGTGTAACATTTTCACACAACATGTAACATGCACACTACAGTGAACAGTTTTTCACCCTACAGTGAAACATGTTCACACACATTAAACAGGTTTCACACCCCGTGAAACGGGTTTTTCAAAACTACAGTTACAGGTTCACACTACATTTGTACATTTGTTCACACTACAGGTACATTTCACCCTACATGAACATTTTCACAAAACAGTGAAACAGTTTTCACACTACGTGTAAAAAGTGTTCACACAACATGAAACATTTTTTCCACACTACAGTGTACATTGTTCACAAAAAAGTGTACAGGGGTTCACACAACAGTGAAACAGTGTTCACACTACAGTTACAGTTTTCACACTAAAATGCACAGTTTCACACAAAAATTTGTACAGGTTCACACTCCCTTTTAACGTGTACAAAACCCCGTGAACAGTGTTTCACACTCCATGAAACAGTGTTCACACTCCCAGTGTAAAAGGTTCACAACACTGCACATGTTCACACTACAGGAACAGTTTTCCCACATCAGTGTAAAATTGTTTCAAAAACAACAGTGTAAAAGTGTTCACACTACAGTGTTACAGTGTTCAAAACAACAGGTACAGTTTCACACTACAGTGTACATTGTTAAACACTACAGGGGAACCCTGGAAAAACACAACATTGCACAGTGTTCACACAAACAGTGTACAGGGGTTCACACTACAGAAAAACAGTTTTTTCACACAACAGTGCACAGGGGTTCCCCCCTACAGTGTTCCCAACTACAGGAAAATGTTCACACTAACAGTGTACAGTGTTCAAAACAATACAGTGACGGGTGTTCCCACTACAGTGTACAGTGTTAAACCCCAACAGTGTACAGTTTTTTCACACAAAGTGAAACAGTTTCAAAACAACAGTGAACAGGGGTTCCACACAACATGCCAGGGGTTCACATTAGTGTGGACTTTCATTATTTCCCAACCGGCTTTTAAACAAGCCCAATGTTTGATACCAAAGTGTTCTCTCTTAAATATCCAGTGTTCGCAGAAAAAGCTGAAAAACCAGGGGGTTTTTCACACTATAACATTCAAGCAGCAAAACCCACCCACATGGAGTTCACCCCAATAAAAATTAAAGCAGCAAAAAACCCCCAAACATGGTGTTCACCCTATAAAAATTCAAGCAACTTTCCACCCAAAATGGTTCAAAACTATAAAACAACCCGCAACAACCCCCCCGGGTTCCCCTAAAACCTTTAAAAGCAGAAACCCAAACCCACATGGGGGTTTCACACTATAAAAATTAAAGGGCACAACAACCCCCACATGGTTTTCCACCATTATAACATCAAGCACCAAAAAACCCACCCAAAATGGTTTTCACACATAACTTTCAAGCAGCAACATAAACCCCAAAATGGTTTCCCCAACTAAAACCCATTCAACAGCAACATCACCCACATGGTGTTCACACTATAACATTCAAGCAGCAACAACACCCACATGGTGTTCACAGTATAACATTCAAGCAGCGACAACACCCACATGGTGTTCACACTATAACATTCAAGCAGCAACACCCACATGGTGTTCACAGTATAACATTCAAGCAGCGACAACACCCACATGGTGTTCACACTATAACATTCAAGCAGCAACAACACCCACATGGTGTTCACACTATAACATTCAAGCAGCAACACCCACATGGTGTTCACACTATAACATTCAAGCAGCAACAACACCCACATGGTGTTCACACTATAACATTCAAGCAGCAACAACACCCACATGGTGTTCACACTATAACATTCAAGCAGCAACAACACCCACATGGTGTTCACACTATAACATTCAAGCAGCAACAACACCCACATGGTGTTCACACTATAACATTCAAGCAGCGACAACACCCACATGGTGTTCACACTATAACATTCAAGCAGCGACAACACCCACATGGTGTTCACACTATAACATTCAAGCAGCAACACCCACATGTTGTTCACACTATAACATTCAAGCAACAACACCCACATGGTGTTCACAGTATAACATTCAAGCAGCGTCAACACCCACATGGTGTTCACACTATAACATTCAAGCAGCGACAACACCCACATGGTGTTCACACTATAACATTCAAGCAGCAACACCCACATGGTGTTCACACTATAACATTCAAGCAGCGACAACACCCACATGGTGTTCACACTATAACATTCAAGCAGCGACAACACCCACATGACAGTTTCTGATGGATGGAAGATAAGGTAAGATTTCGTTCGGATTTTTAACCCTGAAGGGTTAGCCACCCAGCATAACCAATGAGAGTCAGTGCGTCGTCGAGGACTGTCTCTCTTATGTTTATTGGGGTCCTCAATCTTGTCCCCCAGGATGCCACTCACACCAGCCGACTAACACCCAGGTAACTACTTGCTGCTAGGTGAACAGGACTACAGGTGTAAGGAAATACGTCAAAATGTTTCTACCCCGCCGGGAATCGAACCCAGGCCCTCGGTGTGTGAAGCGAGAACTTTGCCAGCCAGGCCACGGGGGAGAACTCTCAAAATATTGATAACATCAATTTGATTTGGACTAATTAATGATAATTATTAACCATTTTCGTTTATATTTAAGAAGAAATAGTTATTCCAGCAAAGATAACTAAGATAATTGTCTTCTGCTATTTTTGGGAAGTCAGTGGAAGAATTTCTCTGCTCACTAATAATCCAGTTTGGAGAGGTGGAATTTCAATTAGAAATTCTTTGCTGGGTATTTTTCGTCCCGGAGAATAATAAAAAAAATCTTCACAATCGTTAAATAAAAGTAGCAAAAATGCTTAGTCATTGATTCAGCTGGAAAAAATAATTTTTATCGCTTCAGAAAATAAATATTCTTATCGGCAAAATCTGTTTGATGGCTTTTACAAAGATATTTTTTTTTTTTTAGCTTTTGATGTTACGGATTCTTTCATAACAGTGAATTCCCTCTGTGTGAAAATTTATATTAGTTTTGGAGCAGCTGACTAAAATGTTTCAAATTAAGTAAAATTAAGGGAAAGATTTATGTATGAATCTAAATCAAATTTGTCACTGTGGACGAGAAGGATCACATGTGTAAGACCAGTGCCAAAAACTTACCCTCTGGAGACCAGGAGACCCACACACAGAAGTAGAGCCAGAGTACATGCTATGCCAGACACGACTGGTGCCAAGACATGAGGGTCAAGGTAGAGTGACGCTCCCTGGCTTTCAACCACCTTGATCACTGATTCCGGCGCCAGAGTTGCTGTCAAGGGAATAAAGGCAACTTCCTTATCTTCAAATTATTCACATTGTGTATAGTGTGTTATAACTATTTCGTGAGTCTATATATATATATATATATATATATATATATATATATTATATATATTATATATATATATATATATATATATATATATATATATTATATATATATATATATATATATATATATATATATATATATATATATATATATATATATATATATATATATATATATATATATATATTCGTGCCGAATAGGCAGAACTTGCGATCTTGGCTTAAATAGCAACGTTCATCTTGCCATATAGGACAAGCGAAAATTTGTGTATGCAATAATTTCGCCAAAGTCATTCTGAACATAACGAAAAAAATATATTTCACTGTGTTTGTTTAGTATTAAATTATTGTAAACAAATCTAAAATATATTTAGTTGGGTTAGGCTAAAATAAATTGTTCTTGTTATAATAAGGTTAGGTAAGTTTTCAAAGATTCTTTTGGTGCAAAATTAAAATTTTTTACGTTAACATAAATGAAAAAAATATATCTTTAAACGTATAAGAGAAAATTTTAGAAAGGACTTAATTTTAAATGAGTTCTTGCTAACTGACCAGTTTTACATATTCGGCACGACATATATATATATATATATATATATATATATATATATATATATATATATATATATATATATATATATATATATATATATATATATATATATTATATATATATATATATATATATATATATATATATATATATATATATATATATATATATATATATATATAATATATATATATATATATATATATATATATATATATAATATATATATATATATTATAATATATATATATGTATATATATATATATATATATATATATATATATATATATATATATATATATATATATATATATATATATATATATATATATATTATGTATTATATATATATGTATATTATATATATATATATATATATGTATATATATATATATATATATAATATATATATATATTATATATATATATATATATATATATATATTATATATATATATATATATATATATATTATAAAACAAAGGAGAGCGGATGATAGAGTGGGAGAGGCACTGTCAAGAAATTTTAACGAAAATAATAAAAAAATTTGGAGTGAGTTAAACAAGAAAGCCTAGGGAACGAATGGATTTGTCAGTTAAAAACAGAGTAGGGGAGTTAATGGATAGGGAAATGGAGGTATTGGGTAGATGGCGAGAATACTTTGAGGAGCTTTTAAATGTCGACGAAGAAACGGAGGCGGTAATTTCAGGCACTGGCCATGGAGGTATACCGTCTTTTAGGCGTGAAGAAGAGCAGGATGTGAGTGTGGTGGAGGTGCGTGAGGCATTACGTAGAATGAAAGGGGGTAAAGCAGTTGGAACTGATGGGATCATAACAGAAATGTTAAAAGCAGGGGAGGACATAGTGTTGGAGTGGTTGGTATTTTTGTTTAATAAATGTATGAAAGAGGGGAAGGTACCTAGGGATTGGCAGAGAGCATGTATAGTCCATTTATATAAAGGGAAGGGGGACAAAAGAGATTTTAAAAATTATAGGAACAAGTTTACTGAGTATACCAGGAAAAGTGTAAGGTAGGGTTATAATTGAAAGAATTAGAGGTAAGACAGAATGTAGAATTGCGGATGAGTAAGGAGGTTTCAGAGTGGGTAGGGGATGTCTAGATCAAGTGTTTACATTGAGGCACATATGTGAGCAGTATTTAGATAAAGTTAGGGAAGTTTTTATTGCATATATGGATTTAGAAAAGGCATATGATAGAGTGGATAGGGGAGCAATGTGGCAGATGCTGCAAGTATATGGAATAGGTGGTAAGTTACTAAATGCTGTAAAGAGTTTTTATAAGGATAGTGAGGCTCAGGTTAGGGTGTGTAGAAGAGAGGGAGACTACTTCCCGGTAAAAGTAGGTCTTAGACAGGGATGTGTAATGTCATCATGGTTGTTTAATATATTTATAGATGGGGTTGTAAAAGCAGTAAATGCATGGGTGCTGGTGAGAGGGGTTGTATTAAATTGTATTAAATTGTGAGTTGACACAGTTACTTTTTGCTGATGATATTGTGCTTATGGAAGATTGTAAAGAAACATTGCAAAGGTTAGTGGAAGAATTTGGGAGTGTGTGTAAAGGTAGAAAGTTGAAAGTGAACGTAGAAAAGAGTAAGGTGATGAGGGTATCAAATGATTTAGATAAAGAAAAATTGGATATCAAATTGGGGAGGAACAGTATGGAAGAAGTGAATGTTTTCTGATATTTGGGAGTTGACGTGTCGGCGGACGGATTTAAGAAGGATGAGGTTAATCATAGAATTGATGAAGAAAAAAAGGTGAGTTGTGCATTGAGGTATATGAGGAGACAATGTTATCTATGAAGGCAAAGAAGGGAATTTATGAAAGTATAGTGGTACCAAAACTTTTATATGGGTGTGAAACTTGGGTTGTAAATGCTGCAGCGAGAAGGTGGTTGGAGGCAGTGGAGATATCCTGTCTAAGGGCAATGTGTGGTGTAAATATTATGCAGAAAATTCGGAGTGTGGAAATTATGAGAAGGTGTGGAATTAATAAAAGTATTAGTCAGAGGGTTGAAGAGGGTTTGTTGAGGTGGTTTGGTCATTTAGAGAGAATGGATCAAAGTAGAATGACATGGAGAGCGTTTAAATCTGTAGGGGAAGGAAGGCGGGGTAGGGGTCATCCTCGAAAAGGTTGGAGGGAGGGGGTAAAGGAGGTTTTGTGGGTGAGGGGCTTGGACTTCCAGCAAGCGTGCATGAGCGTGTTAGATAGGAGTGAATGGAGACAAATGGTATTTGGGACCTGACGATCTGTTGGAGTGTGAGCAGGGTAATATTTAGTGAAGGGATTCAGGGAAACCGGTTATTTTTATATAGCTGGACTTGAGTCCTGGAAATGGGAAGTACAATACCTGCACTCTAAAGGAGTGGTTTGGGATATTTCCAATTTGGAGGGATATGTTGTGTCTCTTTATACGTACATACTTTTAAACTGTTGTGTTCTGAGCACCTCTGCAAAAACAGTGATTATGTGTGAGTGAGGTGAAAGTGTTGAATGATGACGAAAGTATTTTCTTTTTGGGGATTTTCTTTCCTTTTGGGTCACCCTGCCTCGGTGGGAGACGGCCGACTTCTTAAGTTATATATATATATATATATATATATATATATATATATATATATATATATATATATATATATATATATATATATATATATCAACACTGTGAGCTACTAGCCGGGGGAATGAACCCGTGATGGTTTAGCGTGCCTCATGGTGAGTAAAAAGTGAAGATGCTCTAACTCAGGGGATCATACTGTCCTACAAAAATCACGCACCCAGCAGAGCTAGGTATTTGTGGTTACAGTGTTATAGTTTTGGTGATCTGAGGAGATGTGTGTGTATAAAAATGTGTGTATTCTGGGTTTTTATTTTTGTGGTTTTGTCCTAAGTTTTTTTTAGCTATAGTGATCTTGTTATAGTTGTTAGTGATCTTATTAACAGTGTTCATAGTTTTGCTGTTCTTGTCATAGTTGTAAGTAATCTTAGTAATAGTTTTCTTAAGTTTTTTAGTGGTCTTAGTTATAGTGATTTGAGAAGATGTGTGTGCGTATAAACACTATAAGTGATCTTAGATTTTGATAAACATGTTGTGGATTTGGTGATCCTGATTTATGAGGATATGTGTATAAAAATGAGTGTGATCTTTGATCTTAGTTTTAGTGTTCTTGTCCTAATTGATCACAGTTATAGTTATCTTAGTGGTCTTGTCTATAGTGCTCCTAAATTTTGGTAATCATGATTATTGTGTAAATGTGATCATAGTAATAATGCTCTTAGTTTTTATAGTGATCTTAGTTATAGTGTTTTGAAGAGATATGTTATTAATAGTGATTTTGTGATCATAGATTTAGCGATCTTAGTGTACTTAAGTGTACTTAGATTCTGGTAAACATGTATGGCTATGCTGAACATGAATTTTGTTTAAATGTGATCTTGGTAATAGTGATCTTGGTAGTAGTGATCTTGGTAATAGTGATCTTGGTAATAGTGATCTTGGTAATAGTGATCTTGGTAATAGTGGTCTTCGTAATAGTGATCTTGGTAATAGTGGTCTTGGTAATAGTGATCTTGGTAATAGTGGTCTTGGAAATAGTGATCTTGGTAATAGTGGTCTTAGTAATAGTGATCTTGGTAATAGTGGTCTTGGTAATAGTGATCTTGGTAATAGTGGTCTTAGTAATAGTGATCTTGGTAATAGTGATCTTGGTAATAGTGATCTTGGTAATAGTGATCTTGGTAATAGTGATCTTGGTAATAGTGATCTTGGTAATAGTGATCTTGGTAATAGTGGTCTTAGTAATAGTGATCTTGGTAATAGTGATCTTGGTAATAGTGGTCTTAGTAATAGTGATCTTGGTAATAGTGGTCTTGGTAATAGTGATCTTGGTAATAGTGGTCTTAGTAATAGTGATCTTGGTAATAGTGATCTTGGTAATAGTGATCTTGGTAATAGTGGTCTTAGTAATAGTGATCTTGGTAATAGTGATCTTGGTAATAGTGATCTTGGTAATAGTGATCTTGGTAATAGTGGTCTTAGTAATAGTGATCTTGGTAATAGTGATCTTGGTAATAGTGATCTTGGTAATAGTGATCTTGGTAATAGTGATCTTGGTAATAGTGATCTTGGTAATAGTGGTCTTAGTAATAGTGATCTTGGTAATAGTGATCTTGGTAATAGTGATCTTGGTAATAGTGATCTTGGTAATAGTGGTCTTAGTAATAGTGATCTTGGTAATAGTGATCTTGGTAATAGTGATCTTGGTAATAGTGATCTTGGTAATAGTGATCTTGGTAATAGTGATCTTGGTAATAGTGGTCTTAGTAATAGTGATCTTGGTAATAGTGATCTTGGTAATAGTGATCTTGGTAATAGTGATCTTGGTAATAGTGGTCTTAGTAATAGTGATCTTGGTAATAGTGATCTTGGTAATAGTGATCTTGGTAATAGTGATCTTGGTAATAGTGATCTTGGTAATAGTGGTCTTAGTAATAGTGATCTTGGTAATAGTGATCTTAGTAATAGTGATCTTGGTAATAGTGATCTTGGTAATAGTGGTCTTAGTAATAGTGATCTTGGTAATAGTGATCTTGGTAATAGTGATCTTGGTAATAGTGATCTTGGTAATAGTGATCTTGGTAATAGTGGTCTTAGTAATAGTGATCTTGGTAATAGTGATCTTGGTAATAGTGATCTTGGTAATAGTGATCTTGGTAATAGTGATCTTGTCCTAAGTTATAATGATCTTGTCTAAAGTGTTCTTAGATTTTGGAAATTATGTTATGAAATTGATCATAAATTTTGTTCAATTATGATCTTAGTAATAGTGTTCTTAGTTTTGTCGGTCTTAGTTTTGTCGGTCTTAGTTTTGTCGGTCTTAGTTTTGTCGGTCTTAGTTTTGTCGGTCTTAAGCTATAGTGATCTTGTCATAGTTGTTAGTGATCTTAGTGGACTTTTATCGGCTGATCAATGTTCAGAAATATTTTTTTTTCTCTGTGTGTGAATGTGTGAATGTTATGAGTTCTAAGATTTAACAGTAAATTTTTCTTAAGCACTATCTTTGTGTGTGTGTTATATATACATATATTATATAATATATATATATATATATATATATATATATATATATATATATATATATATATCTTCTTCTTTTAATGTACCGGCCGTATCCCACCGAGGCAGGGTGGCCTAAAAGGAAAAACGGAAGTTTCTCCTTTTAAATTTAGTAATATATACAAGAGAAGAGGTTACTAGCCCCTTGCTCCCGGCATTTTAGTCGCCTCTTACGACACGCATGGCTTACTGAGGAAGAATTCTGTTCCACTTCCCCATGAAGGAGGGGTGTTAATTAATGTTGCAGTTTAAAAACTGTAGTGTAAAGCACCCTTCTGGCAAGACAGTGATGGAGTGAATGATGGTGAATGTTTTTCTTTTTCGGGCCACCCTGCCTTGGTGGGAATCGGCCAGTGTGATAATAAAAAATAATAATATATATATAATATATATATATTATATATATATATATATTATATATATATATATATATATATATATTATATATATATAATATACACATATATATATTCTTCCTCAGATTCCGTGGATCACATGAATACAGATCTATTGATCATTTCCATCTTTATTTTAGTATACTATTCCAACATTGATTATACCAATTACAATAAATAGTGATATATCATACTTGTAATGCATTACAATAACATCGATTACATCCTTTCACCATTCCTATGGTTAGTTCCAAGTTCCTTGTTGTGTTTGCTATGGTATAGAATCAGCTCAGAGCCGCCTGCCTGTTCAGCCTGTACAGTTTGTATTGTATGTCGAAACGCCATACGTAACATGACCGAGCTGTTTACCTGGAGTTTACCTGGAGAGAGTTTCGGGGGTCAACGCCCCCGCGGCCCGGTCTGTGACCAGGCCTCCTGGTGGATCAGCCCCTGATCAACCAGGCTGTTGCTGCTGGCTGCACGCAAACCAACGTACGAGCCACAGCCCGGCTGATCAGGAACTGACTTTAGGTGCTTGTCCAGTGCCAGCTTGAAGACTGCCAGGGGTCTGTTGGTAATCCCCCTTATGTGTGCTGGGAGGCAGTTGAACAGTCTCGGGCCCCTGACACTTATTGTATGGTCTCTTAACGTGCTAGTGACACCCCTGCTTTTCATTGGGGGGATGGTGCATCGTCTGCCAAGTCTTTTGTCAGTAGTGTTGCTGAATCCCTGTGTTATATACTTGTGTAGCATATTGTAGTTAGTACTAGTTACTTTATACATAGCTTCCCTGTCCAGCTAGGCTCTGTGGCTAGTTGTGTAGTCACGAGTCACGCTCAAGTGAGCAGCTAGTCAGAAGTATACGTCCTCACTTCCACCCTAGGCATAGACGAGACAGGTAGGCCTGGTCTTTCTCTCACAAAACTCTCTCAATATATGTTAACAATCGACCTAGTGTGTATTTCTTCAACCATCTAATATCTCCAGAACAACCATCCGACAGCATGTCTGAGCGTAATAATTTAGGATCTTGCATGTCTGAACTTAATCATTCAGGATCTTGCATGCCTGAGCTTAATAGTTTAGGATCTTGCATGTCTGAAGTTAATTACTCAGGATCATGCATGTCTGAACTTAATCATTCAGGATCTTGCATGTCTGAACTTAATAATTTAGGATCTTGCATATCTGAACTTAATAATTTAGGATCTTGCATGTCTGAACTTAATCATACAGGGTCTTGCATGTCTGAACTTATTCATTCAGGATCTTGCATGACTGAGCTTAATAATTTAGGATCTTGCATGTCTGAGCTTAATAATTTAGGATCTTGCATGTCTGAGCTTAATAATTTAGAATCTTGCATGCTTGAGCTGAATAATTTAGGATCTTGCATGTCTGAACTTAATTGTTTAGAATATTACATGTCTGAACTTAATTATTCAGGATCTTGCATGTCTGAACATAATAATTTAGAATCTTGCATGTCTGAACTTAATCATTCGGGATCTTGCATGTCTGAACTTAATCATTCGGGATCTTGCATGTCTGAACTTATATTCACAAAGCGTTCACCGATGTTTTTAATTATTGGCAACAGTTAAGTTTTTACGTCTGTTCCTGAAAGCTTCAAGTATTTTTGTCACGAGATTTCTACTGAAATTCCGTTCAACAGGTGAATACATAAGAGGGTAAATTTTCTGTAACGTGGCTGTATGCTGAGCATTATTTTACGAATAGTCTAAATGTTTAATAGGTCTAGTCTGTTTTTTGGGCAGTGTTTGTGGTGTGAGATGAATTAGTAGTGGGAGTGATGATTGTAGGTGGGGTACTGTGAGGAATGATGATTGTAGATGATATAGTGATTGTGGTGGTGATGATGGTGTGTTGGTGTTAAAATTTATTGTTGACAGTGTCATATGATAACTGATGGGAGTAACCTATGATAATTGATGACGATAACCTATGAAAATTGATGACGATAACATATGATAATTGATGACGATAACCTATGATAATTGATGACGATAACCTATGATAATTGATGACGATAACCTATGATAATTGATGACGATAATCTATGATAATTGATGACGATAACCTATGATAATTGATGACGATAACCTATGATAATTGATGACGATAACCTATGATAATTGATGACGATAACCTATGATAATTGATGACGATAACCTATGATAATTGATAACTTATGAAAAGATAAAAACAGAATTTGATAAAACATCCACAACTCAGGAGGAAAAGGAGAATTAACAATGAAAGGTTGAACTATCATGAAAATAACAGTTAATTAGTATAAATGTATAAATACAAAGCAACTTTTGTATGGTTCTTAACTAGATATTTTACTAAATTTTGGAATAATTTTTGGGCATCTAAGAAACTTAATAAAAGATTTCTTAAATAACAATCTGTACTGGAAAATGGAGGAAGAACTTAGAAATGTTTGTTAAATGCATGTGAGTGTCTAGAATTAGAGGAGTAGAATGGTGGACACAGTGTTGGAAGAAAAACTCTTGATGGCGTAAATTAAGTGTTGTAAATGTAAATTAAGTGTTGTAAATGTAAATTAAGTGTTGTAAATGTAAATTAAGTGTTGTAAATGTAAAGTAAGTGTTGTACATGTAAATTAAGTGTTGTAAATGTAAATTAAGTGTTGTAAATGTAAATTAAGTGTTGTAAATGTAAATTAAGTGTTGTAAATGTAAATTAAGTGTTGTAAATGTAAATTAAGTGTTGTAAATGTAGAATAAGTGTTGTAAATGTAAATTAAGTGTTGTAAATGTAAATTAAGTGTTGCAAATGTAAATTAAGTGTTGTAAATGAAAATTTAAAGTGTTGTAAATGTAAATTAAGTGTTGCCAAATGTAAATTAAGTGTTGTAAATGTAAATTAAGTGTTGTAAATGTAAATTAAGTGTTGTAAATGTAAATTAAGTGTTGTAAATGTAAATTAAGTGTTGTAAATGTAAATTAGTGTTGTAAATGTAAATTAAGTGTTGCAAATGTAAATTAAGTGTTGTAAATGTAAATTAAGTGTTGTAAATGTAAATTAAGTGTTGTAAATGTAAATTAAGTGTTGTAAGAGTAATCATCTGTGTTCAAAACTGCTCTTTATGCATTCAAAACGCTTAATTTACTTACCTTTCAACACATTCAAGATTCTTACATACATAAAACACATAGTATTAATTTTAACACCTTGCTACAACTTTTTCCTACAAAGGTGCAATACGAAAGAGACAAAATACAAGAAAGAAGACAGAAACCTTAAATGTGGAAAACAAATAATTCACGTCCTCTGTGACACGTACCACCAGTGAGAGACGCTGTGGCCACATCGTACGTTGCAGTTGCAGACCCTGCAGCATTGTTGGCCGTGATACGCAGCTGGTACCACGTTAGTGGTGCTAACTCTGGAAGAGTGAAGGAGTCTGTGTCCCCCGCCAGATGAGATGCTAGAGGAGTGAAACCTGCTTCAGAGTGAGGTCTGTATTCCACCGCCCACTGGGTGATAGGACAGCCACCGGAGGGCCAGGTGTACAGGTGGAGGGTGACGGAAGACGAGTTAACACTGATGAGATCCTGATGGCGAGGCTGGCGAGGCGCTGTCAAGGAATAAATATATTACGGTTAGTCCGGTAGTACAGGAGGTTGATATGTTTTGTGCTCGCCTCGGGGAATAAATTAATATTTCAGACATAACGGAATGAATCAGTCTTAAAAACCCCAATAAAAAAACTTTGCTGGATTCCAAGTCTTTGACGATCACATTGTATAGGTAAATCACATTAATTTAAAACTGTTACTTGTGGCTTGGATATTGTTTCTTTTCATAACTTTAAGTAAAAACGTTAGTTGATTTAGGGCATTTTTTGATAATGTGAAAAATAACGAGAACATTGATGTGTATATATTAACCGAATGAATGTTAGATAATGCTCAAAAATGCAACATTAAGGTCCTAATGCAGCATAATGATCATAATACAGCATAATGATCATAATGCAGCATGATGATCATAATGCAGCATAATGATCATAATGCAGCATAATGATCATAATGCAGCATAATGATCATAATGCAGCATAAACATAGTGAAAAAATAGTGAAATTACAAGCTTTCGTGATTTCTAACAATATCAAGGAACTATAAAAAATAATAGAACAACAGAAGGGTTTTAAGACTGAGATATCACCTCAACTTGGCGTCCAGCATTACACTCGTCCCATTATGATGCGCCATGGATGGTTAACGACTTCTTAAATATGTTAAATTCTTCCCAAATTTTATTAATTAATTTGTATAATCCTAAACCAATAGTCATATTGAAATCAAAACTAATTTTCTTATGAATCTTGATTCAATTATGTTTCCCTCAACCATAAACCTGCTTGATACAACTTTCTCGGCCTTTGGAAAATCAATTAGACTTTATTCATACTACTAATGCATTTGAGCTTTCTTCTAGTTTCATAATCTAGAGTTTTCCTCTCACTTTCAAGAGGAAGTGGAAAAGAACTATTCCTCCGTCAGCCATGCGTGACTAAAATGCCGGGAGGACGGAGCTAGGAAAATATTTCTTCTTAAAAAATAATAAATCGGAGAATTCTGTTTTAAATTTGAGATGTCTAATTGCACGTGAGTGTGGCATAGTTGACATGAAAGAAATGACAGTAAATGTTATGGATGAAAGAAGATACATGTTCCAGTTCTAACGAAATAAAGTTAAAGGGAGTAAGAGAATTTCAGTGGGTAAACATAAATGGAATTAAATCGCGTGTATCTGAGAGAACTATAGCAGAAATAAGGGAAAGAGTAATGTTAAATGATACAATATGTAAGGAGGAGAAGATGGTATATAGGTGTAGAAATTCCTAGATAATGTGACTATGAATGTGATTTTAATATGAGAATTGTGTTCTAGTAATTGTAATTGTATCTGGGAAAGGAAGCGGGCAAAGGAGAGGGGGGGGGGAATTTAGGAAGTTGTTCAATGAGTTTAGAAAATTTCAAAACAAGTGATAAAATAATTGTGGTCGGGGACCTAAATGCAAAAGTGGGAGAAGTTGTTGCAGTGGATGTAATATGTATGATTTGGGTTTCAAGGGTGAGTGATAAGTGAGGCCTTAAACTGAACGTTGTATAGAAAGTGAGTTGGTGATAGGTAATACGTATTTTAAGAATAGAAGAATAACTACACGAGATATAAGGCGTTAGGACAGTAGTTTGTTGGACTAAGTATCAAAAGATACAAAAATCATGGGTAGACTTGTGCATGTGTATGTTGTTAGTTGGGCAATAAATATTTTTTTTAACACTCTGGCCGTCTCCCACCCAGGTAGGGTGACACAAAAGAGAAGAAAAAGTCTCACAATCACTCACTTCATCAATTCCTTGTCAGAAGGGGGCTCCAGTCCTAAAGTTCAAAACTTTAAATGCAGTGTCAAGTCCAACTAACGCAGTTGCCTTCACTCTTACCAACAAAGCTCACACATGCTCTCTGGTTGTCTAAGCTCCTCGAACTCAATCCTTTTTAACCCAACTCACTTCAACCTCTTCTAGGACAACCCGTACCCAGCCTTCCCTCCACTACTGATTTATACACCCTCCAGGTCATCCTATTTTGTTTTACTATCTCTAATGTCTGAATCACATTAAAAATCCCTCTTCAGTTCTTAGTATCCCACGGCTCCTAATTTCCAAGCTACGAAACTGCATTGTATTCCCACCACCCACAGCCCTTATACACGACATCTTCACTGCCTCCTGCCTCCTCCTTGTTGCAACATTTACAACACATATTTCATACCCATATAAGAGTGTTAGTATCACTACACTTCCATACATTTCCCGTTGTGCCTCCATGCAGGACGTTCTTTGTCTTAACAGGTGCCTCTGTGCACCACTCACCTTTTTCACCTCGTCAATTACATAGTTCACTTCGTGTTTCATAGACCCATCTGCTGACAAATCCACTCCAAATTATCTGAATAGTTGCAAAATGCTAATTATGTAATTGGCAAGCAGACAATAACATCTTGAAGAAGTGAGGAAGATCCAGATGTACGTGTGGTGGAGATACGTGAGACAGTGGATAGAATGCAAGGGGTTAATAAAGCTGGGATTGAGGGGATAAAGACAGTAATTTTGGATTGGTTACTGAATTTATTTCGTATACATATGAATAGGGAAAGGTACCTAGAGACAGGAAGAGAGCATTCATAATAACAGAGTTCATGATTTATGGAAGAATAAGTCTATCGAGTATACCAGGTAAGGTATGACACAAAATTATAATTGAAGGTCAAAGAATAGGATTGTAGAAGAACAAGTTTTAGGAAGGGTAGGGGATACCTGAGTCATGTGAACACAGTGATGCATAAAAGTGAACACGTCTTAGACAAAATAAAGAATGTTCTTATGGGAGAATATATTCCAGTGAAATTAAGTCTTGGACAGGAATGTGTGATATCACCATAGCTGCTAAATATATTTATGGATGGGGATGTTAAAGAAGTGAAAGTTAGGGTGATGGGAAGAGATGTGGGATTAAAAGATAATGAAACTAATACAAAGTGGGAGCTGTCACATGTGTTTTACACCGATGGCATAGTATTTATAAGTAATTCTAAAGAGAAGCTGTAAAAGTTAGTAAACACATTTTGGAGGGTATGCGAAAAAGCAAAGTAATTAACGTAAGAAGAAAAATGAAGCCATGAAAGGTTGGGCATAAATTGGAAGGAGGGAGTATGAGGAGGAAATGTGTTTAGATATTTGGAAGATGACTTAGCAGGTTGGCATATAAAAAATTAAGTAAGTCTTGGAAGTGACTGGGGTAATGTTCTACCGATGTACATGGGTAGAACATTCGAGTACCTCAGAGCAGGACATTTAAATGGACAAAGAGCACATTGTATTCCTTTCTTTCATTATTTGAAAAGATCACACAGAATAATAACTATCCATGTCTACAGTATCTCAGAAACCCTCCTACCCTATATGGGTAGTGGGGGGATGATGGTAGGGTGGGGTTGGCACCGACCACTAACACAGTCTAAGGGTAACCGTGGCCGGTGACACCTACGCTACTCTGAGACCTCTCCCTGCTTTGGTTGCTCCCTTGCAACATTGCACAGCTCCTTGTGACGCACTGAGAAGTGTGAAAGTAATTGAGCTAAAGATTTCCACCCCCAGTGGCTTGTCCTGCATAGTTATGATCGCCCGTCTGCGATTGTTTGCATATATATACATACATATGCAATAAGATCACAGTAAACAGGTGATTTCAGAATATGCAAAACAACCACTCTGAAAGAATAGAGAAATTCCAAGCGCTTTCGTGACTACTCACATTATCAAGGAACTAACTAATATATATATATATATATATATTATATATATATATATATATATATATATATATATATATATATATATATATATATATATATATATATATATATATATAATATATATATATATATATATATATATATATATATATATATAGTTATATATATATATATATATATATATATATATATATATATATATATATATATATATATATATATATATATATATATATATATATATATATATATATATATATATATATGGTCCTGTTCTTGCACTCACTGTGTGAAAGGTTGTCAGTGTTATTGTTTTCGCACTTTGATGTCAGTGTATTTATTTAATATCTGATGCTCGTTAAGTGAAATCCAGTTTCAGTCTGGATTGTTTATCCTCTCCTTATTCTCTAGTTGTTCCCTGGATATGCTTGCCCCTACAGATTTCATCAAATAATCCTTCATCTGAGTCTAGCCTTGCACTAGCGGGAGGCCTGGTCATGAAGCCTGGTCATGAGGCCTGGTCATGAGGCCTGGTCATGATGCCTGGTTATGATGCCTGGTTATGAGGCCTGGACGAGATGGCGTTGATTCCTGCAAGAACCTCCAGGCAGCTCCCTCCTCTCTGTGCTTCCCAAATATCCCAACTTTCATGTTGGGATACTTGGGATTTCCTATGATTATCATCTCTCCATAGATTATGCAGACTCTTCCTTCCTTCCAGTGTGTTACCAACTGCACCATTTTGTTTTGCTACCCATTATTTCGTTATCTTTATACTCTTGTATTGGTCGCATACTTTTTAATAAATGGCAATAAACGACTGCAATTTCTGCCTCGGGTACCCAGGTAATGATTGTATCTGTTATTTGCTTAATTGACATCCATATATATATCCTTCTCATTTCATCCACTAGTTTCCGATAAAAACCTCCTCTCCTTCCCTGCCCCAATATCCACTTCCTTTCCTCAATAATTTGGTTCTTTCTAAGAATATTTCGTATCGTATTATCTCAGTTTGATGCGTCTTAGAAATGGTATTCTTGTTTAGCCTTAACTCTGAGGTGTGTTCCTGTAGCTGACTGCGTCTTCTGGATTGTGATGTGTTTGCTCTTATTTGGAAGGGAGGGGAAGAGAGTAGGGTGAAGGGGAAGGGAGGAGATGATGGTAGGGGAAAAGAAAATGAAAGGAAAAGGGTAGAAGAGAAAGGAAGGACGTGTGTCTGTAGTTGAGGTTATATAGACTTGAGTGAGTGAAATTATGAGAGTATTTTCCCAGATGATGTTTTGATACTTTCAGATGGAAGGATAAAACTTGTGTTTGTAAGTTTGTTGTGAGAAAGGTTTTGGTTACAATTCTTGCATGGATGGAAGCACTGGACGCTGAAATGAGTTTACCGAGGAGATGGGCACTGAGATGAGTTTATGAATTATATTGACAATGAGTTTTCTGAATGACTCCTGTTCACACTAACAATCATTGTATTTGTCCTTACAGAATTTCCTATTATTTTGTTGGCTCCCCTCAACTCTTTTCATCTACTGCCTCATGTGCGGCTGAACGATCACTCTGGTGGGTTCCTTTGCGTAAGAACTTGCCAGTACAAGGTAAACATACTTTCAGGGGTGTAACGAATTTATTACGTTACGTCAATATATATCGGCGCCAGTGTAAAAAAGGCTGTCTAGGGACATTTAAAATATTAAAATATATAACTTGAGAGCCTAAAACTTACACAAAATAACACACCCATACTTAAACACAAACACCAACCTTCTACAGTCACAGCTTTCCGGAACTGACACACACATCTCCCTCCCGGTACTGATACATACACACTTCTCCCGGTAGTGACACACACACACACACACCTCTCCCAGTACTGACACGCACACACCTCTCTCCCAGTGCTCATACACACACCTCTCCCGGTACTAACACACTTCTCTCCCAATACTGACACACACCTCTCTCCCAATACTGACACACACCTCTCTCCCAATACTGACACACACCTCTCTCCCAATACTGACACACACCTCTCTCCCAATACTGACACACACCTCTCTCCCAGTACTGACACACACACCTCTCTCCCGGCACTGACACACACACCTCTCTCCCAGTACTGACACACACACCTCTCTCCCAGTACTGGCACACTCACACACCTCTCTCCCAGTACTGACACACACACACACGTCTCCCTCGCTCGCCTGACACTGTCCAGGTCTCATACGCATACGCATCATGTTCAGCGTTTTACATACACATACTACTTTATAACTATCCAGTGATCTGCATAATAAGAAGTAGTTGCTGCACCACCACCACCACTATCACCACCACCATTACTACTACTACTACTACTGCATATTCAGTGTCCCTTTTGATATAAATTTTCTACTGTCCGCTTTTTCTATTCAGATCACTTTTATGTCTTTTACTTGTCTTTTCTCCTTTCAAGATTATCTAATCTATTGTCACTGGCTCCTTTGCTCTCTTATTATCTTTCTTCCTTTCTAGTCTTCTTAATTAAAATATCTCTTCAAGTAAAAATATTTTTTCATACCGTTTTTCTCCATTTTTCTATCTCATCACTCATAACACACCTATTTTTTTATCACACTGGCCGTTTCCCACCAAGGCAGTGCGGCCCGAAAAAGAAAAACTTTCATCATCATTCACTCCATCACTGTCTTGCCAGAGCCGTGCTTACACTACAGTTATAAAACTGGAACATTAACACCCCTCCTTCTATTATCTTCTTCATTCTTTTAAGATCCAACTTCTGATTATGCTACTGTACACTCCTATGAGTACTTAACTTATTTTCCCATTCCTCGTCCATTATTCTTGTCACTTCAGCTTCCATCATATCTTTTTCTCACATCTTTTCCACTTCCCCTCCATATTGATGATCTCCTTTGAGTCGCATGTATAATTACATATAATTATATACACTTGCATGCAATTATGTACACATAATTACATGCAGTAAAGAAACTTGCTATGTTTTATTTACCTGTACTCATCATTTACAATCCGTACTCCTAATTTGGCAAGAAGAAGCGAGATAAAGTGAGGACTGGGAAGAAGTGTGATAAAGTAAGAGAGGACTGAAGAAAGTTAAGATAAAGTGAGGACTCACCAGCACCGCGAGTCCTGGTGTTAACGACTGGTGAACCTTCCCCACGACCCACCAGGTTAACGGCTGCCACTTGCAGGTGGTAGGTGGAGCCGCACTGGAGGTACTGCACACTGTGGCTCACCTCTCCAGGTTCCACAGCTTCCTCCACCCATGTATTGTCTCCTTCCAAGCAATACCGTATGACGTAACCTGCAGACGTTAATTATGTAGTTAGCCAATATTCTTAAATTATTTAACAATTAAATTATCATTAATCTTTAATTAGTACAATTAATGCTCAAAATTCTGATTGAAATTCTGCTGTTTGTTCCAGAATATTGTAATATGTATATTCTATAATCTTGGGCATAACATTATTAAAGTTTAAACTTCTTTTTTTTTCAGAAATAATAAGTGGATAAATTTTATGGGAAGTAGAGAAGAATCATTCTTCTGTAATCCACGTGTGTCGCAGGAGGCAACTAAAATGCCGGGAGCAAAAACCTAGTAACCCCTTTGGGGTCGCCCTGCCTCGGTGGGAGACACCTGGTGTGTATAGAAAAAAATTGGATAAAATATAATATATATCGTGTGTATCTGGGTTTCACACACACCATCTGTATGTTTTAGGTCACACACTCACTCTTATGCATCTGTCTCTACTGAATAATTAATCTTCCAGAATGCTGGAAAGATCAAATGCCTCTTCATAGATACATCTCGTCATACACTGAAATATAAATATTTCTTCTTTGCACTATCAGCTAATTCTCTTTTCGGAAACAATTGGAGTTGACCTGTGATGGGTTTGCCGCCGTTGCCCGGGGGGTTCCAGGAGAGGTGTATGGAGGTCTCAGTGGCGTACTGAACCCTCAGTGTAGGTGCTGGAGGCGTCTGCACCACCTCTACCACCCAGTTGATCTCATCTCTCCCACTTGGGTTGTGGACGTGGCAGGTGTAGTTACCAGCAACATCCGTGCCAGCTACTGGCACATGCAGTGATTGGTCTGCAAGAATCTGTAAAAAATCCAGTTGCTGATCGAAATATAGAAATTATTAATATGATTTTTATATAATTTGTGTTTTATGAAACAAATAATTTGAGGAACAAATAATTTGATGACATTTGATGGTCTGTCCTTGTCACACAGTTACAACAACCTACGTCTTGTGTAAATAGATTTACTTGCTCGTGATTCTCGTCTTCCGGGTTGAAGTTAGTAACCTAGATATTCCAAATGCATAAAATTTATTTTAAGAGCATATCAAATGTTCTTGAATAAAATTACTAATGCTAATTCCAGTGCATTTATGCGTAACTGGGTATTACGTGTCTGGCAGTAACCTAGGCCAGTGAGGTGAATAACATTAATTGCTACAATGACGGCCTCAGTACCGTCCTTAATAATACATACATATATACCCACCTATGCATACCAGTTTACATATTTATAATCATTTAATCATGCATATACCATGGTGTCTTGCAGTTCGATCGCTAGAGCACTCATCTCACACACTGAGGTCCGAAGTTCGAATCTCCGGTACGGCTGGATAACATTAGGACGTATTTCCATAAGATACCTGCTGTCCATGTTTACTCATCAGTAAAATGGGTACCTGGGTGTTAGTCGACTGGTGTGGGTGGCATCCTGGGACAAAACTGACCTAATTTGCTCGAAATGCTCAGCATAACAAGCGGCTTTCTATGTAGTAGTATGTCACTGATGTCAGCTATGCCTGTACACCTTGAACATGTACTTGTAGAAATAATAATAATAATAAAATTATTATTATTATTATTATTATTATTATTATTATTATTATTATTAAATTCTTCAAGTACATCCCAGGATATATGCCCAGTAATTCCTAATACAACAAACCTAATTTATCCTACTAAAACGTGGATATCCGTTCATGAATATTAATTTATGTAAATCCCAACATGCATGCTGAAATATACATACTCATTCATACATACCATACCATATATTACACGCATAAACACCACGACTCAACGATTGTAACCAAATGTAAACATACAATAGTTCATTATCACTGACTTGTTTACCTCTGCAGTCTTCTGACTACCACCACCCCTCAAGGAAGGTTCCTTGATATTAGTGAGGGGCTCTTGATTTAGGGAATTGGATCTGTGCTCCAGTTCCCTGAATTAAGCCTGAATGCTTTCCACATCCCCCCCCCTTCCCCGAGGAGCTGTATAATCCTCCGGGTTCAGCGCTTCCCCCTTGATTATAATAATAATAATAATTCTGACTACCACAGGAAGGTTATCGGGTAGATAATAAGGGTATTAAACCAACCATCACCGTGGCTCCTATACACGCCTCAGTATAAGTTGTTTTTTTTCCAATATGACAGTTTTTATTATGTTTTAATGATAGTTACCATTCTTATTATTTATTTCCGCAAAGCATTTCGCAGCTGGAATAATGAAACTGGACAGATGAGCATAAATATGCGTCATTTTGATGCACGTTGACGCACTCTGCTAATATTACAGCAATTGACATCTCTCTAAATGTTATAACGAACTCTTCTCTCTACACAACAAATCTCCACCTACTTGCCAGATGATTTTCGTGAATTTATGGAAAAAATAAGAAAATAAACAACTGTTGGTTAAAGCAAACATCTAATCAGCCAATCAGGTGGCAGCACCTCAGTGCTGAAAGCATTTAGACATGTTCAAGAGATTCAATTATTGTTCAGAATATATAAGGATTGCTGGTGCCAGACGCGGTGGTTTGAGTGTCCAAAACTACCGAAAATTAAGTATATTACACGTGAATATATTACCGATGATAACATCACGTGAAATGTATTTTTGACAATGTGCTTTAAAATTTTAGCAGAGGAGAGAGAGAGAGAGAGAGAGAGAGAGAGAGAGAGAGTGAGAGAGAGAGAGAGGAGAGAGAGAGAGAGAGAGAGAGAGGAGAGAGAGAGAGAGAGGAGAGAGAGAGAGAGAGAGAGAGAGAGAGGAGAGAGAGAAGAGAGAGAGAGAGAGAGAGAGGGGAGAATTTCATTACAATGTTGACAGATTTTTCGACTATTTTTTCTGCAAACTTAACTCATTTTTTTAATGTTAGGTATCTGATCTACCAAACAACGATTCTAGGAAGTGATGGGAAACAAGCAAAGCTTTGTGACATAATACTGAGGCAGTGATGAGAAACATATGAAACTTAAGAGAATCTGTAATAGGCAGGGATGTGAAACAAGTGAAGATTAGTATCACGTAATACAGATGCAGTGATAGGAGACATTTGGAGCTTAGTGGCCTCGTAATTGGTCGTAATGTGAAACAAGTGAGGCTAAATATTTCCATAATACTGACTCGATGAGACACAAGTGCAGGTTAATGTCACGTAGCACTGAGGCATTAAAATGAGAAACATGTGTCATTATTGACCAGAAATATAGAGAAAACATTACTAGCCAGAAGAGATAAAGGAAGATACAGCAGAAATATTATTGACCAGAAATATAGAGAAAACATTACTAGCCAGAAGAGATAAAGGAAGATACAGCAGAAATATTAGAGTGTATATACTGCCACATAAAATAAATTTTATTTCTATGTGTAGTATACAAAATGCAATTTACAAGTAATAAAATACTGTTATACACAAAGTCACTAACACGAGTGTGCATGACGTGTATGATGTGTCCTCAATACTGGCACACCCAAACTGCATTCTCAGACCTGGCTAACTCGGGGTCTAGCACACCTGACACCTCCCTTTCCCTGTCACACACCTGGTTTTAACTCGGGGCCTAGCACACCTGACACCTCCCTTACACTGTCTCACACCTGGGTAACCCGGGGTCTATCGCACCTGACACCCCCTTACACTGTCTCATACATAGCTAACTAGGGATCTAGCACACCTGATGTGACATGCAAAGAATATGTAACCTTTATTCGGCTCATGTAAACACCCTCATTGAAAGGCTACCTCCCCAACCAGCAAACCAGTACTAAGGGTCGAGTGATGGGGCCCCATCGTCCGATCAGTACCTAGGTTCAGCCAATGAGTAGGTGGGTTTGGCAATTGTGGAGGTGACGTGGTCACCACTCATCTTTCCACCCTCGTCATTTCCATTCTAGAGTTAGTTGAACACGGCTGTCCATTCTGTCTCCAGGCTGTGTCTTTGCCTGTTGCTTCACAGTGTGGTACACATATATTTCCAACTGCATATAGTGTACATACTTGTAAACATTCAGCTCCTCTTTACACCCAGAATAACAGGCCTTATTGTTCCTGGGTTGTAATACCTGACACTTCCCTTACACTGTCTCATACCTGGCTAACTCTTGGTCTAGCACTCCTGACACCTTACACTCTCACACCTGGCTAACTCTCACACCTGACACTTCCCTTACACTGCTCACACCTGTCTAACCTGGGGTCTAGCACACTTAACACCTTCCTTACACTGTCTCACACCTGGTTAAGTCGGGGTTTAGCACATCTTTCTCACACCTGGTTATCTCTGGGCCTAGCACACCTGACACCTCGCTAACACTCACACCTGCCTAATTCAGGGTCTGGCACACCTGACACCTCCCTTACACTGCCTCATACCTGGCTAACTCTTGGTCTAGCACACCTGACGATTCCCTTACACTGTCGCACACCTGTCTAACCCGGGATCTAGTACACCTGACACCTCCCTTACACTGCTCACACCTGCCTTACCCGGGGTCTAGCACACCTGACACCTCCCTAACACTGTCTCACACCTGGCTAACCCGGAGTCTAGCCCACCTGAGACCTCCTTAGCACAGTTGTCCAGTTTGTGAAAAAAAAATATGAGAATATTTCGGTTTTTATCAACTGATTATTTTCTACCATAAATTAGAAATATTTCGATATATCTTTCAATGTATTCACAAATAACCCGTAAATAGTAGAGAGACTTATAACGACGTTTCGTTAACTATTAATAAAGAGAAGCGCAAAGTGAAGAAAACTGAAACGTTGTCAAAAGTTTCGTTTTCCTTTATTCAGGTCATTTATGTACTATTCCAGTCACGGTATTGTGCCGTTTTATTCTCTCTATACAAGTTTTTCACAATATAATCGGTAAATTTACTTTCTTAGTAGCGACGTTTTTGAGTGTACTCAATAACTGATGTGGAGATAAGGAAAATAACTTGCTTATGATACCAACAACAAGAATCTGCTTTACACACTGATGGCCAAAATACCCCTGAACTAGGAATTTTTTTCAATGTTCAAACTATAATTCGTCTTTTTTTCTCTATAGATCAGGATAGTTTTTGCTCACTATGCTTTATTTATATTGTTTAACAAAGTAATCCATTGCTTTCTCTTCTTTCTATTTTTTTTTATTTTTTAATATATTTTTTAAAACAAAAATGGTGTATATTTACTAAAATATTTTTGGAAAATTCAATTACTCTATTATCACAGACAAATATATATACACTTTTGCAGGAGTCAGCTGACAGTTTCCTTTTACACTTGACAAAGTGTTACATTAAAACTAAAGTGTTTTTCTTATGACCAGTGTTGATGAAGCTTGACGCAACTAAGTATGGTTGGGTCGCACTCAATATTCTGTGAAAATTTTAGAAGTTTTAGTAAATTTATGCAGAGGATGATGCAACAAACCATACTACGGTCGGGGATGGAACCCGCAATCGTGTCATTACGATTTCGTGAGTGATGTTGCAACAGCTTGACTGACTCGAGGTCAAGCACATCTGACACTGTCTCATGCCTAATTAATGTAGTATTGTTGTTAAAGATTCGCCGGTATTCTCCCGGCCCGGGCCAAGTGGTGGCCCGGCCCGGGCCCTTCCAAGTGGTGGCCCGGCACTGGCTCCCTGTCTAGGGAGTGTTTGAGACCTAAGTCTCCCATGGGAGCAGGCACAAGTACCCCCCTCATCTTGTGAGCTACAAACTCGGGCTCTGGCACCAACCCTACCCTAGAAGGGCAGGGTTGGTGTCGATCGTGCTAGCACTGTGCTTTCCTGTGTGGAGTGTCGTGTGTTGGTGTTCATTTTCATTCATTCATTCATGTTGATTCGCCGGTACTTCCGGCCCGGGTCTTCTCCAGATGGTGACCCGGCAGTGGTCCCCCGGGTGGGGGGTGTAGTATCAGCACACCTAATAATTTGTATACACGACCTAACACCTGACTTTGTTTACATGAATGGTTACGATAAGTGAATCCCAAAATTAAGTTCTGTGATTCTAAGTAAATTTAAGAATTGATAGAAAACGGTGAATAATTGAAGGAAATAAAGAATATATCTTTTAGAATACGTATAACTTACCTGTGCATGAGGAATGTTATCACGACCTAGATGTGACCAGGTGACAGTAGGTGTTGGGGAGCCCACCACAGCACAGGGAAGTGTGAACGATGATCCTCCCTCCACCTCCACCGTCTGGGCAAATGACCTGATCCTTGCTGCAACTGTATCAGGCAGACAAGTAAAGCACCTAATATGGTATATATATATATATATATATATATTATATATATATATATATATATATATATATATATATATATATATATATATATATATATATATATATATATTTATATATATATATATATATATATATATATATATATATATATATATATATATATATATATATATATATATATATATATATATATATATATATGTCGTGCCGAATATGTAAAACTGGTCAATTAGCAAAAACTCATTTAAAATTAAATCTTTTCTAAAAGTTTCTCTTGTATATTTAAAGATATATTTTTTCATTTATGTTAATGTAAAAGTTAATAATTTTGTACCAAAAGAACTTTAGAAAACTTACCTAACCATATTATAAAAAGCAGAATTTAATTTAGCCTAATCCTACTAAATGTACTTTAGATAAGTTCACAATAATTTAATAATAAACAAACACAATGAAATATATTTTTTTCGTTAGGTTCAGAATTATTTTTGCGAGATTTGTGCATACATATATTTTCGCTTGCCCTATTCGGCAAGAAGAGCGTTGCTATTTAAGCCAAAATCGCAAGTTTTACTTCTTCAGAACTTCTAGGAAAATGTTGATATTCATTGAAGATAGTGGGTTAATCATTCTGAATTGGACTAGAAATTCTCTAGACCTCAACTCAGTTGAGAATCTACGGCCAATAACCAAACGCCAGACGGTACTCATCAGCTGTAGATAAGCTAACTGCTGTTATTAGGACTTGGTACCACGATGAAGAACCTGCCAAAATGTGTTCAACATTGATCGATTCTATGCTAAAGCGTGCAGCAATGCTTATAAAAACAAAGGATAATCATATCTGTTATTAAATGAATTACTTGTCATATTGATGTGTATTTTTCAAATAATCATTAACTTTCCAAATAAATGTCTTATTTCATCATTATCCCAATTAATATGCACTTTATTGTACGTAAGAACTAAGTATTATACAGGATATCTGATACTAGTTTCAGGACTACCCAGTTAGAAATGCACTGCTTTTCATAGGTAACGATGTCCACTCTTCCACACAATGTCCTGACCCTGTACTGTAGTGGACATCGAAACTCTCCACTTAAACAGGTTTCAAATACTGCCGTAACTCAGGAATAACCAAAGGAAAATCTTGTGATAATGCTGACCTTATTTTGTGCTTGGACAATGGCTTGGACAATTTGTTTTACGGTAGCAAATGGCCAGCGCCTCTCAATTAGAGTAAAATTATGAGTATAATTCTCATGGTCAAGCCTTCAAATTCCTGGGTGGAAGGTTTGCCAAAAGTTCCTGTATCCGTTCCAGCAGTGCCTTCGTGTACCTAAGACCAGCCTCACAGACTGGCCCTGTGTGTGTGTGATAGAAAATAATTTACCACTAACTCTGACAGTGACATTAACTTAAAAGCAAGGAGAAATCTTTCAACCTAGGTAATAATCACTGCATACATCATGAAAATGCAAATATTACCTGTTGATGATGGTGTCTGGGATATAATAGTCGAGGCTGCACCTTCTCCCACACGAGTTGAGCTCGTAACCCAATACTCGTAGCGGACGTGTGTGTCTAGTTGCCCGACTTCCCTGCTCACTTCCACCCACGGTGATGCTCCGACATCCGCTGCTACCACCATGCTCCTTGTAGCCTGAAGGTAACAACCCATTCACGTGAAGAATGAGTAAATATAAATAAGAAAAAAGTGGTTCCAATAATTTATTAATTTACTGACAGAAACCTTAGAAAGAATACGGTACCATTTGATGAAACATCTGAGAGCTGAAACAGAAAGCTACTTTAGATGTTTCAAGAGTGGGGTCTCAAAGAACCCCATAAGCTCGAGGCTGGAGCTCAAAGCAACTACAGAGGCAAAGTTGTAACTAAATTTTGAATGATAAACTTAAGCCTCAAGAAAAGATTCAGTTGTTTTTCTTCAACCACGAAGAGTATTTTAAGCTTATTTTTTGTGAGAGAAGCAAATTTGTCAGAAAAGTCTAAACATTTATATATATATATATATATATATATATATTTATATATATATATATATATATATATATATATATATATATATATATATGTCGTGCCGAATATTGTAAAATGGTCAAGAACTCATTTAAAATTAAGTCCTTTCTGAAATTTTCTCTTATACGTTTAAAGATATATTTTTTTCATTAACGTTAGTGTAAAAATTTATAATTTTGCACCAAAAGAATCTTAGAAAACTTACCTAACCTTATTATAACAAGCGCAATTTATTTTAACCTAACCCAGCTAAATATATTTTAGATTTGTTTACAATAATTTAATACTAAACAAACGCAGTGAAATATATTTTTTTCGTTAGGTTCAGAATGATTTTGGCGAAATTATTGCATACACAAATTTTCACTTGTCCTATATGGCAAGATGAGCGTTGCTATTTAAGCCAAGATGGCAAGTTCTGCCTATTCGGCACGACATATATATATAATATAGGGAGGTACTACCTCCAGAACTTTACTGGGGACCCTCATCCTCAGAGAAAACAATAAACGTACCTCAGCGTTTCAATATTTTCTTCTTCCATCCCCTCTGTTCTATATTTTTTGTAAACTCTGTTTACCAGCAACATACATTAAGAAATGTACAATAGAAATGAGAACATAAATATGTCGTGTCGAATAGGTAAAACATGCAATTTTGCCTTAAATAACAACACTCTTCTTGCCGAATAAGGCAAGGGAAAATTTGTGTATGCAATAATTTCGCAAAAAACACTCTGAACCTATCGAAAAAAATACGTTTCGTTGTGTTTATTTTTAAATTACTGTAACCTTACAATGGGTTAATTGCGTTGGGTTTGGTAGAGGAAATGAATGATAAGGTTTCGGAGGCTTCTTTATATGTGAGATCGTGGGTGCACAGGCAGTGTGTTAGTGCCCATGGCCCCGAGGGGCCGTGCTGTGAGGGAAAGAGGAGTAGACCTGTTGACTAAGTGAAATCAGCTGTGCGATTGAGAGAAGGGCAGTGTGACGTGGGTTGAAGTGGCATGCTCACCAGGCTTGCCCTCTGAGGGAAGCTATGGGAACTATGCATGTAGGCTTACAGTCTGCGTATCGCTCGGCCACCTACCACATGGTTGTCCTCGACCATGTTTGACTGAAAAAAAAACTTGATCTCTCTCTCGCAGGAACAGGGCACAGAACACAGAATAAAATCATAAATATATAATATATATATATATATATATATATATATATATATATATATTATATATATATATATATGTATATGTCGTGCCGAATAGGCAGAACTTGCGATCTTGGCAACGCTCATCTTGCCATATAGGACAAGTGAAAATTTGTGTATGCAATAATTTCGCCAAAATCATTCTGAACCTAACGAAAAAAATATATTTGATTGTGTTTGTTTAGTATTAAATTACTGTAAACGTATTTAAAATATATTTAGTTGGGTTAGGCTAAAATAAATTGCTCTTGTTATAATAAGGTTAGGTAAGTTTTCTAAGATTCTTTTGGAGCAAAATTAAAAATTTTTACATTAACAATAATGAAAAAAATATATCTTCAAACGTATAAGAGAAAATTTCAGAAAGGACTTAATTTTAAATGAGTTCTTGCTAATTGACAAGTTTTACATATCGGCACGACATATACATATATATATATATATATATATATATATATATATATATATATATATATATATATATATATATATATTATATATATATATATATATACATATATATTTATTTATTTATTATTATTAACACACTGGCCGATTCCCACCAAGGCAGGGTGGCCCGAAAAAGAAAAACTTTCACCATCATTCGCTCCATCACTGTCTTGCCAGAAGGGTGCTTTACACTACAGTTTTTAAACTGCAACATTAACACCCCTCCTTCAGAGTGCAGGCACTGAACTTCCCATCTCCAGGACTCAAGTCCGACCTGCCGGTTTCCCTGAATCCCTTCATAAATGTTACTTTGCTCACACTCCAACACGCTCACGCAGTTTGTTTGGTGGCTCTTGCAGAGCGAGGTTCAATTATAAATGTCTTCGGAGGCTTCTTACTTTATTTGCATAGTCGTGGTGGGTACACAGGCTTGTGTGTTTGTGCCCATGGTCGGGGAGGGCCATGCCCATGAGGGAGAGAGGGAGTAGGCCTGTTGTCTGAGTCTAGGCTGCTGAGTGAATGAGAGCGAGTGGGACCAGCATCCCACTGACCTGGGCAGGCCTAGAGAAGGCAGCACCTGCGGAGAAATTTTCTCCAGGAGGGGGGTATCAGTCCCCTTCAGCCCCTTTCAGCCCTGAGGGGCCCAGCCCTCTCAGAAGGGGCAAGCATCTTGTTTACTGCTACAGCAAGTAATTGATACCAGATGCAGTACCAGTATGTGACGTGGTCAAGCGACCATCGCTCCGTGCAAGACTCCAGTGTTGCAAAGTGTAATTTAATAAGAGACAGTCCATTTCTTACCTTAGCAGGACAATTAAGGAAAATCCTGCTCCCACTTTATTACCATGGTAAAGAAAGTGTACATTGTTGTCTATGCTTAAGACAGCAACAATCAAACATTCTGCTTTGCTTCATGGAGGAAGTGGCAAGGAAGCAAAAAGTACTAGATCAGCTTTTCCTTTATGTGCTAGGGGCGGTGACGGCGTGGGGCGTTGTGAGGTCAGATTACTTTTGACTCTACTGAGAGTCACACTGACGCCAGGATAACCAACAAAGAACACTGACCCTTGCATTAGTGTCAACAAAGTATCTCATAAAACACAATAAACGCTTAAGAGAAGTGTGATCAGCTTCTTCAGTGATAAGATTGTGAACAATAAAGACAAATCTTGTGGAACATAGTGTACCAGTGTGCGTATTCCTAGACTATGGAAGACGTGGACATCCAAGGACACTTCAGCTTCTATCAAGTCACCGATACCTGTCGAAGGTGTGAAGAACAACATAGTTCACGCTACAAGAGCAAGGTAGGTTACGAATTTATTGTAGTACGGGGGACTGCGCAGTTCTTGAGTCGCAAGGAGTTTGTAATCAACCTATAGTCGGCAGTGAGGTGCGGACTTTTGAGTCCTCACAAGTAAGTTTGTCAGCAATCTGTAAATGAAATATGCTGACATAACACCCCCTTGGGGTAATTTATTATTTACATAATATGATCTATTACAGCCTGTTGAGAGAAGATCATGACAACAATTCAAGACCTCGTCTGCAGGGGCATCTGTGTAGACGATTTGCTGTCTTTTATCAGCTGAGTATTCCCTATATTTAAAATTATAAACTTAGCTGATAACCCATTTCTCAACAGCACTTGAGTGCTGCGAAATATGAACTAATCTGGCAGACAGCATAGGCCGTCTGTGCAGACAGTACAGGCTGTCTACATATATTTATATGTGTGTGTGTGTGTTCTCACCTATTTGTGGTTGCAGGGGTCGATTCATAGCTCCTGGCCCTGCCTCTTTGCTAATTGCTACTAGGTCCTCTCTCTCCCAGCCCCAGGAGCTTTATCATACCTCACTTTAAAACTATGTATAGTTCCCGCCCCCCCTACGTCACTTTCTAGGCTATTCCATGGCCTGACTACTCTATGACTGAAGAAATACTTCCTAACATCCCTTTGATCCATCTGAGTCTTCAACTTCCAACTGTGACCTCTTGTGTCTGCATTCCCTCTCTGGAACATCCCATCTTTGTCCACCTTGTCTATTCCGCGCAGTATTTTATATGTCGTTACCATGTCTCCCCTGACCCTCCTGTCCTCCAGTGTCGTCAGGCCGATTTCCTTCAACCTTTCATCGTAGGACAATCCCCGTAGTTCTGGGACTAGTCTTGTTGCAAACCTTTGCACTTTCTCTAATTTCTTGACGTGCTTGACTAGGTGTAGATTCCAAACTGGTGCTGCATACTCCAGTATGGGCCTGATGTAAATGGTATACAGTGTCTTGAACGAATCCTTACTGAGGTATCGGAACACTATCCATAGGTTTGCCAGGCGCCTGTATGCTGCAGCAGTTATCTGATTGATGTGCGACTCAGGAGATATGCTCGGTGTTATACTCACCCCCAGATCTTTTTCCTTGAGTGAGGTTTGCAGTCTTTGGCCATCAAAACTATACTGTGTCTGCGGTCTTCTGTGCCCTTCCCCAATCTTCATGACTTTGCATTTGGCAGGGTTAAACTCAAGGAGCCAGTTGCTGAACCAGGCTTGTAGCCTGTCCAGGTCTCTTTATAGTCCTGCCTTATCCTCATCCGATTTTGATTCTTCTCATTAACTTCACATCATCCGCAAACAAGGACACTTCTGAGTCTATCCCTTCCGTTATGTCGTTCACATATAACAAGAACAGCACAGGTCCTAGGACTAACCCCTGTGGAACCCTACTTGTCACAGGCGCCCACTCTGACACCTCGTCACGTACCATGACTCGTTGTTGCCTCCCTGTCAGGTATTCTCTGATCCATTGCAGTGCCTTTCCTGTTATGTGTGCCTGATCCTCTAGCTTTTGCAGTAACCTCTTGTGAGGAACTGTGTTGAAGGCCTTCTTGCAGTCCAAAAAAATGCAGTCAATCCACCCCTCTCTCTCTTGTCTTACTTCTGTCACCTTGTCATAAAACTCCAGTAGGTTT